ATATATATACATGGGTATTCATATAGGGTATGATTCTATTATTTTAACTCTTGTCATTAATAAGCTAAATAGACCCTACTTCAGAAGACATTATTTGTGTGTTACTATGAGATATTTCTTAAAACATTTAAATAAGTTTTTTGTGATACTTTTCAGAACCATCCCTCTTATAACATATTTCAGAACTTCAAAACCAGAAAATAACCTAGTAGCAAACGTCAATGTAATTTTTTGTTTATTTGTTGTTCCTCATATATGCATATATCCAAGGATCACAATGATCTTTTAAACAACACGTACATCAGATTATCTTCCACTTCTCTCTCTCCTTACAAGTTTGTCATCATTATTATTTGTTGTGGTACTACTGTATCATGCAGTGCTCCTTGATCCAAGTTTTTTAACTTTATTTTTATTATATCCTGGTATTGAAACAAGAGGTAGAAGATCTTCAGATAAGAAAAACAATGAAACAGTACTGACCAATTGGATAGAAAGCAGTCCTGGCAGATCTGGACGCTTATTATTGCATCTTTGTAGATATTATTTGGCAAAAGTATTAGCAGAAAAATGATTAAGCTGAATAAATAGCCTTAAGGTATTCCTTTGAAGCTTAAACAGTCAGCATGAAAGATTGCACACAGATACTTTAAGGAAAATGTAACAAATGGGGAATGAAGGTTGGCACTACTGCTGCCATTTGAGAGCGTGACAACTTGGCCAGAATATTATGATTGGAAGTAAACTAGCAGATTATTTTTTAAAGGAATTTCACATTTAGAGATTATGATTGCCAAGTGTATGAAGACATCAGTAGACTAAAAATAAAATTGTTTGAATCTATCTGTCTTAGTAATTAGTATTATTTTAAGTTATTGTTGTAAATACTGAAGTTTAGTTCTACCTCAAGCTGAAAAATTACGGGCTATTTGAGAAACTTACTGAGAATGTTATCTTTTCACCTTCAGAAGCCATTTCTCAAGGAAGAATTCTGCGTATTTGTTTGAAAATACTTTCAATATTGTCTTTGTGTACTTTATGAACATTCCCGTGGGCTGTGCACTGGAAGAAGAGTGCTGACATTGGATTCTAGTCTTCTGAATGCAGAGAGGAGAAACCTAGCAAAAGAGAGCAAATTTACCTGCCTTTCTCAGTGTACCATGCAGAGTATTTAGGCAATTATGTTAAACAGGTTTCCTCATCTTGCTCTGACTTTTGCTGTCTCCATGCTCACATTCTTGTGCATCACCTAAAATGAGATACCAGGGTACATAATAAGCAGTGGATTGGTTTCCAGCTGATATAATTGTATTGTAGAGGCACTGCTCTGCTTGCCTGTCTCTCTTCTGAGGTTTTATTATTCTGTTACCAATCTCCTAAGCAACCTTGAAAGAGCTACTGATGTTGTTTCTAAAATCAATGAGTTTGCAATGTTTTGAGGGCTTCAGAAAAATATCATGTGGAGAGGAAAAAGGATGCCCTGTAGCATTTAATACGACTTGCTGAGCAGTCTGTCAGCTAAGACTTGAAAAGAAAAAAAAAAGAAAAAAATCAATTTAGAATGACCAGCAAGTCATAGAAAAATTGAAGCATGCCTCAAGGTTCAGACATTTGGTGCATTTTACCCTGCTGTGCACTCTAGTTAATGTTCATAAATTTAGCTTCTAATTTAGCAGAACTATTCTGTAATAAAAACAGAGTATATTAGCCCAGTACACTCAACGTTTTTGAGATCACAGCAATCAGATCAACTGTTTCTCTTTGAAAATATTTCAGTTACAGTTGGCATACTCAGGTATTTTTTGGTGGGTCTTTTGACAGCACTCTGTCAGTGCTACACAGAAGTCACGATTCTTCCTTCTGGGCATTGTGCTGCTGGCGGCCTTGTTCTTCATGGAAGAGAGAAGCTAAGGTATTGAGTGTGCTGAGTGATTACATATCACACATAGCTGTGTTCAAGTGGAGGTGCCTGGATACAGCCACTGTCCAGATATTGAGATTACTGGGAATTCTACAATACTTGGGTTCCTTTTCCTTTACAAACATACAGAATGTATTTTGTTTCATGTTCTAAATTGTTGCTTGCCTATGTGGGATTTTGACTGCAGAAGTTAGTGGTTGATTAAGTATGCACTTGATGCGTAGTTTCTAATGCAGAAAAGTAAGTTTTATTTGTGATGAAAGCTTTTCTGTATACAAAGGTTGTCATAATTGGTGGATCATCAATATTTAATTATTTGAAGGTTTTAGGGTGTAAGCAATGCCTCTTGTGTGTAATTTGCAGATCTTGTAATGCTTCTTGTTCTTCAAAAGTATCAGTGCTTGACACTTAAAAGGCTAAGCTGTTCCTTCTGTCAATTCTTTATAATAGAAGTGTATCAGAAATTCAGTAACAAAAAAACCCTCAGTTTGCTTTATTGCTTCCATTCTAGCTTTTGAGGTTTTTATGAGTAAACAACTTTGTAGTGTTTGTAATTAAGGAGAGATTTGCCAAGTTTTCTTAGATTTGTTAAAATGTTTTACCAATCTTTTGGCTAGTTCAACGTTAATAAAAGTGAAGGTTTTAAAGACAAATAGTGAAGTACTTGTTAATATTAATTTGGTTAGGTAAGTCTGTTTGAATTTTTGTAGCATATGGAATTCCAAATGTTCCAAAAGGATTAATTTTGACATCATAGCTAATAGCCCTTACAGAAAAATTGGAATTATTTTCAGAAATGGAAAAAAAATGTTTCAGTTCTGAACACAGGGATCAGTTATAAAAGGATACATTTTTTGCAGAAACTTACAGGCCTTTTTTTAGTTTCTTGTCGATTATTTTCACAGACTGATCCAAAAGAGTTGATTCAAATGGTCACAAAGCATGTTACTCAGCATGACTATACAGACTGGCCTGAAGAAATTGCAACTTTGATAAATCAGCTGCATTACTACAATGAACGACTACTGGATTTCACTCAGGCTCAGATTCTGCAAGGACTTGGCAAAGGAGTGGATGTGCAGAGATTTACAGCAGATGGTCAGTACAAGAGAGAAACAATACTAGGATTGACAGAGTAAGTAATGTCTATTTTTATTTTCTTTATTTTAAAGTGGTATTAATTTAAGCTTTAGATCAGGAAGGTAAATTGAAAGTAGTGCTGACCTTTAGAAGGGATAAGTTACTAGTTACCTTAGATATTTACACTATAATACTGCTACAGGTGGAGCCTTTTCTATTCAACTACTCCACTTAAATGAAATGTTACTCAAATAAATGGATCAATAACTTTTAATGGAACATATAACTCTTTGGTAATTGACTGCTAATATTAAAGTTAATCAGGGATGAATGAAATGAGAGCATAGGTGGAGATTTTGTTTCTTCCTTTCATCTCCTGTAAGCCTGTTCTAGCACTCCATTACAGTATGGCCAAGCATCAAAGTTTGTAATGAACTATAGTTAAAAAGAAAAAAAACAAACATTAATAAACTCTATTTTATTTTTAATAATTTAGTTAAAACTACTGTATTTTCCCCTGTAGTCCTTTGGAAGTACTGAAGCCTTCACTGCACGTGGTCTGATATTTCAAATGCTTTTCTCTCACATTTCAGTTATCCTGAATAGGGAAAAAAAGAAAAGGGAAGATATAGTGTAGTACTCTCCTTTTATTTTAAAAATACTTTTAATTAACATGTGCATACAGGTACTTTAAGCTGTAAACAAGCAAGGAATATACTGAAACTCTATATGATTTGAAGATAATGACAGTTAAATAGCTGCTAGACTGTCTGTGCAATAAGGAAGACTTCTGTGCAATAAGAAGCTTTTAATATATTTGTTAACCCAATTTTAACCTACTCTGTACATAAAGCTTTTGAAGAGCACATTTAGATGTTTACAGTCTCCCACCTATGTAGCTACTCATAACTACAATTCCAGTAGAAGTTTATTAGTAAAAAACCATTGATATGAAATGCTGAATAGGAGTGGTATAACCACAGATTTTGAACACTAAGTAGCTGCTACTTTGCATCTGTAAAATCTATATCTGCATAGATTTTGGCACTGCATTCATAAACATAGCTTGTAAGCATATTTTAATGTCTCCATTGGAGTTACCTGTTTTCAATATATTGTTCATTGAGCCCATGTCATTTCTGTAGTATGTCACTAGATGAATGTTACATCTTGACGATTATCTAGGAACCTCTATACAGAAATCCTTCTGTTATTAGATGTTTGTTTTGGATGCAGCATGCTTACTTATATTCTCATCTAAAGTCCTTTAGATACTACCTTTCATAAAAAATAAAATAAATATGAAGATAAAATTCTTTACAGTAAGTAGAGATTGAAACACAGTATGAAAGGCTTCACAGCATGTGGGTGAGAGTAGTAGTTCCATCTGAAGCAGTTGCAAAGATCCTATTAATCACTTGTTCAGCTTGCAGCTGCCTTGCTTTAATCTTCTCAGTTCACTCTTAACCTGCATTTTCTATTGAAAACAATGTGCAAATTCAATATAATTGCGTAGCATATTTTTTCTTATTTTTGAATTATCATTAAGTGCTTCATGTTTTCAGTCTTTTATGAAGTGCTGTTTGCAGGAACAACACCTGGAAGAGATGATACCTTATTTACAAAGCAACTTTGTACTAGAATGAAGAATTTGTTTGCTAAAACTACTTAACCAATAGTTGTTAATTTTATCTTCCATATTTGGTGTGTTGACATTAGAGCTTATTATGCATTATTTATCAAACAATTAAAAATCTGGATGCCTCACAAACTTAATCAAGGTTAGTTCTCAAGCAGTTTACAATTTATTTAGGCAAAATAGAGCCAGAATGTATTTGGGAAGGAATTAGGGAAACTAGAGCAAGACTGAAGGGGAATACTTGAGCAGCTAGCTGAATTCCCATGGAGCTTCAGGCCAACTATGGTGTATAAGCTTTCTAATTATTTTTTTTACTTGAGGCCATCTTTTGGATTACTTTTTTTTTTGTTGTTTTTTGTCCACCTGCTCTGAGGTCTTCAGCCCATCACTGCTTCTGTTAATATGTTGAAATCAGAAGTTGATTTTAACAATTTAATACCAATTTCTTCCTTATCTTATGTCACTGATCTAAAATACCTATTTTAGATTTTTAGAAAAATTGTGTAATTATTAAGTAATCTGAATTTCATAACTTGGTTTGTGCTTATTGTATTCTCAGAAGGATTTGGGTGCATATGAACTAGGTCTGTTTCCAGAAGACTAAACCAGAAGGTCCTGTGTAAAACCACTTCAAATGTACTTCAGCTCTTATTAGTGATATTAACTTCTGACATTAACTACTTCAAAAGTATCTGCTTTTGCTGTCCTGCTCTGCTCTGTTGCCAGTGTAGACACAGCCCTTTCTCCCTGCTGCATTGCTGCTGCAGAACTTAACAAACGGCCGTAGCATTCCAGCTCATTTTCCTGCTTCAAATGTGAGAGGAAACTAAAGCTCTTGGGCTTAAATCTTCATTTCACTTATCCAGGTTGGATTTTTATTTAAAAAAAAAAAAAAAATTGAGGCTGTGTGACTGGAAAAGTGTATCTCATTTCTCTTTATTATGATTGAATCCAGTGGTGGTTCTAATGCTTTATAGCTGATAGATGCTAACAGAAAATGTTGCGAACAGTGATTGCGAGTGAACACATGCGCATGTGTGATACAGCAGAGGATTTAGAGAAAAAATGCCTGTTTCTGTGAGCTTGAAAATAGTCAGATAAATTCTAGCTGAGCACTACTACACTGGCGTGATTTTTGGTCCTTTGGAAGTGCATGCTAACACACAGGTGGGGGGGCTAAGAACCATCCACAAGAACTGCTTCTGTCTTTGCTTTTGCACCAGTCTTGGTGCAACAGCACACAGGAAGTACACCCAAACTGTGCCAGCCCAGCAGCCTTCAGTGGGGATTTCTCTGGCAGTTCTCAGGCTCACAGAGGAAGGCAGTTAGGACTGGGCGTGAAAAAGGGTGTGCAGAAGAAAGTTAAACTGTCTTTTTCAAGGTAATGGCCATTTTGGGGGGCTTTTCATTTTATATTGTTCTTGTCTTGTTAGTATTATCTTGGCAATGAATAGCTTGTTAATGTTCTTCATTTATACAGAATCATTTCCTTAAACCTTCATTGCATTATGCTACCACTGTGTGCCACTCTTAAGATAGAAAGACAGGATTTTAGTAAGGTTTATAAAGTGCTGGGGGGAATAGATCCCACTAGCTCCAAGAGCCATTACTGATTTGTATGATTAACTGAGTTATTGTGAAACTAAAGCATTCATATTGTCTTCCTCTGCCACTGAATCACAGAATGAAGAATGGTTGAGGTTGGAAGGGACCTCTGGAGATCATAGAATCATAGAATGGTTTGGGTTGGAAGGGACCTAAAGGTCATCTAGTCCAACCTCCTGCAGTGAGAAGGCTCATCTTCAACTAGATCAGATTACTCAAAGCCTCATCCAACCTGACCTTGAACACTTCCAGGGAAGGGGCTCCTACCACCTCTCTGGGTAAACTGTTCCAGTGTTTCACGACCCACATCATAAAAAATTTATTCCATATGTCCAATCTAAATCTACCCTCTTTTGGTTCAAATCATTATCCCTTGTCCTAACACAACAGGCACTACTAAAAAGTTTGTCCCCATCTTTCTTAGAAGCCCTCTTTAAGTACTGAAGGGCCTCAATAAGGTCTCCCCAGAGCCTTCTCTTCTTCAGGCTGAACAGCCCCAACTCTTTCAGCCTGTCCTCATAGGAGAGGTGCTCCATCCCTGTGATCATTTTTGTGACCTCCTCTGGACTTGCTGCAACAGGTCCATGTCTTTCCTGTGCTGAGGACTCAAGAGCTGGACACAGTACGCCAGGTGGGGTCTCACCAGAGCAGAGTAGATCATATGGTCCAGCCCCTCTGCTCAAGAAGTCCAACTAGAGCCAGTTGCCCAGGACTGTGTCTGGATGACTTTTGAACATCGCCAGGGATGCACAATATACAGCCTTCCTGGACAACTTGTGCAAGTACTTGGTCACCCTCACAGTAATAAAGGGCTTCCTGATATTCAGAGGAAACCTTCCGTGTTTCAGTTTGAGCCCATTGCCTCTGGTCCTGTCACTAGGCACCACTGAAAAGAGCCCAGCCCCATTCTTTTTGCATCTCTCTCTTCAGCTGTTTATATACATTGATGAGATCTCCCCGGAGCCTTCTCTTCCTCAGGCTGAACAGCCCCAGCTCTCTCAGCCTCTTCTCATAGGAGCGATGCTCTAGTCCCTTCATCATCTTTGTGGCCTTTCACTGGGCTCTCTCCAATAGCTCCATTGTTCATTTTAGAAGTTGTTGTAGTATTGACATTTTGAGTAGAGTTATCACTGTTTCCTTCTATTCAGTTATTCGGCCTTTCACTGGGCTCTCTCCAATAGCTCCACTGTTCATTTCAGAAGTTGTTGTAGTATTGACATTTTGACTAGAGAGTTATTACTGTTTCCTTCTATTCAGTTATTGTGTATCTAAATTGATGATACAAAGAAAGTAATATATTGTACATTTTTTTCTTTCATTAATTTAAGTATTGACATCAGTATTGAGGACTAGCCTGCAGAATACTGTAGTTAACCTCATCACCTCCGATGTACCTTTTTCCAAATATCCTGTTATCTTCCCCTTAGCCAGTGGCAGGCTCCCTGTGCAGTTCTTGCATCACTCTTCACCTTGGCTTTAACTAGCAATCCGCTTGTTGATGGTACTTCAAGCGATTTCTGGAAAATGCAAAAGAATGTAAGCTTCCATGTGTTGTGATTTGGCAGCAGCTGTTGTGTATCCCTGGTTAAAAAAAGATCTGCTTTTATGTGCTGAATGCCAACCTGCACAAACTGCGGCTACTGATCTGGAATTTACAATGTAGTGTTGTCATGGTACTTCTCCTTAATGTCGAAAAATAGAATAGAGCATCTGCCTCTAAAAGATTAGATGACTCTTACTGAGTATTTTTGAAAACGTTTAGATCATCATCCTCTTAATCATTCAACATTGCTTGCTGGGTTAAAAAGTGTTCTTCTGTTTGCATTGAAGTATTAAGTCTAGTTTCAAAAGGCTGGGTACACAAAGCCTTGCTTTGCTGAAAAATCAGAGGGAAAGTGCCGTGGCCATTGCAACAGAATTCAATTGTTTTTTCTTTCTTCTTAAATGTATTTTCAATAAATACTTTATTGATTTATGTTAAAATATATTTTAATTTTAATGTTTGCATTCTGCCTCCTTTAATTTGCACACATGTTATTCAGCGTGAAGTTTCTAATATTTTTCAGGGGTTGTCATAACGAAGAGTCATTACGAGAGAGTTGTGGGTTTTTTGCTTTTTTGAGTTTTTTTGTAGGTTTTTTTTTTTTCTTAAACTATTAGAACAATAGTCATAGTGCAAAGGTTATTCTGATAGCTAGTTGTGAAGATTTTTCAGCATTATGTTATTTCTTGGCATTTTGCTTTTCTGCTCTGCATAGAATCATAGAATGGTTTGGGTTGGAAGGGACCTTAAAGATCATCTAGTTCCACCCCCCTGCCATCAGCAGGGACACCTTCCACTAGACCAGGTTGCTCAAAGCCTCATCCAACCTGGCATTCTGTCTCTTATTTTAATTCTACATTGTCTGAAGCAACTCTCACAGTGGAATGTAATGATGTGTTGGATTGAGCACCTAAAAATTGGAATTAAGGTGTATGGATGTTTCAGCTCTTCACCTAGGGTGGAGAGGAAATAATAGACTCCAGCTGTAAGCCTTATTTAGCATAGATCAAGTTATGCTATAGATCTATGTTTGTAAATGACAAAAAAAGAACTGGGAAGTTATATTCTATAATCTGTAGGTTTTTTCTGCTTTTCTTTATTGTCATACATGGATGATGAAGATATTATGGAAAATCTTGTACTAAGAGTTATTGCTGCTCCACAAAGTCTGTTCCCTACCCCTCAGAAAACAATGTAATGAATTTAAGGAAGGTATTAAACATATGATAAGGTTACTCAAGTTTATGGGGATAACATGAGTCTGTAGACTAGTAATGTTAAACTAATTTACTGGCAGTTGGAATTGTATTTTGTAATAGTTCATGTTATGTAAGGCCTTTTCCTTAGTCCTACATGACTTTTTAATTAAAGAATCTAAAACAACATGCTCACTAGTATTCACACTAAATACAGTTTTTAAAAAGTTGTTTATGACAGGTCTATTAGGATGTAATTATAAACAGATAGTATTTTTCTTGGCATTTTCCTGGGGAAAAAAACAAATGCAAACCCAAAAAACATCAACCTTAATAGTTTTGTCTTGCTCTTATACCAGCATAGAAACAAAACCCACATGTGTCTGTCTGAGCTATACTAGCTTAGTAAAAATTAATATGAAGATAACTTCAGACTTTCATCACTTAGCAGATTCTTGTTCTGTTAAAGGGATATGCAATAACAGAAAAACAGCTTTTAATCTTTCTTGGACATTTACAGGGTGGAGCTGGTCATTTGCGTACCTTCTTTTAGTCTGGAAATACTAAGATTGTTTCTGTCTGAATTTCTAGGAGGAGCTTTGATGACCTACATAACAGTTGTGCTAAAAGGCTGAAAGTGTTGCAACTAAGTCAAATAAATGTTAACTGTGACACATAACATCCTTTATCACCTTGTAATTGAAATTAAATAAAAACTGAGGTTTTTGCTTTAGCATAAAGGTTAAACAGAAACTATCGTTGAGAACCAAAGTGTATGTGGAGCAGGTGTCTGTCTTTGCAATACAGAATCATAGAATCAGAGAATGGTATAGGTTGGAAGGGACCTTAAAGATCATCTAGTTCCAACCCCCCTGCCATCAGCAGGGACACCTTCCACTAGACCGGGTTGCTCAAAGCCTCATCCAGCCTGGCCTTGAACACTTCCAGGGAGGAGCAGCCACAACTTCTCTGTAGTTCGATTTTTTTTTTTTTCTATTTTCATATTTTTTTCCAAATGCAGCACTGAGTATAAGCAAAGGCAAGAAGACAGACTTTGTGTATTTTTGACTGTGATTCAAACTAGTGAATAAAATCTAGCTTCTTGGTTTATGAAAAAAAAAATAAAATAAAAAGAATCATTACTTTTCTAATGTAAATTATTTTCGTGTCATGTCTCTAGAGGCTTAGTGTAACTTTTCCTTGTTTTCTTTCATGTTTCCTCTGTTTAAGAACACTTGAAGAAAATGTCTACAAGATTGCTGTTTCTTTGGCTCAGCGATACAATGTTCCACTTTGGGAAGTTTATATCACCCATCTGGAATTTTTGTTCACTGACAGTGGGTAAGTTGCCTCCCCTGCAATGACAATATGTAAGATTCTGTTACAGAGAAATCTGTGCTAACCTATGAGGAAACTGAAGTATATTTGGGGTACAGTTTGGTTTCTGTTTTCATATTTTTTGTGTTGTAATAGTTTGGGATTTTTTTTTTGTCTTTTCCATGTGTTGCTTTTATAACCAGCCATGAAAATATGTTACAAGCAAGGATAAAAGTCCATATGTCTTATTATTTTTGCAGGTATCCTGAGACTTTGTTTTCGTGTTTAAGTTTCCATGCCTTTGAACGCTTAGTGCTCTCTTCCAACAGCACCTTATCTTGTACTTATTTTTACAGTCTCTTGGAGTATGTCCTGAATCTTTATAGTTTTTGTATAATTATTTATTTTAAAATACATTTTTGCTATTTATTGATTTCTTTTCTACATAATAGCAAAGGAAGTAAGTATATTGGAGCTTCCCATTCATCTATTAATCTCAGTCTGTTTTTTATAGAATCCCTTTTTTTACAATATTTCTTTGGAACTGTTCTAGCCTACAAGATTATGACAGACCAGACCTGGCATTGGTGGGGGGCATAGGGGGAGGGACACTTTTCCAGAGTTGGTTCCAGGGTCCTTTTGTGGTTTTTATTTTTGGGGGTTTTTTTAATAAAAAGCACTTTGACGTCTTGTCAGTCAGACAAATACTTTTTGCCAACTGGAAGCTTAATAAACTCAATGAAAGACTAAACTACTTGGCTGAATAGTGCATTTGGATGACAGTGATGTAGAGCCCCCTGGGTAATACAGCAGCTCTTATCTGCTGTTCTGATGGACCTGATCGAATTAGTCTAGTTTGCTTCAAATTTTAAATTGTTTAAAACAGCTTTAGCTCGCAGCAGTATTTGTACCTCTTTTAACATTAACTATTAATTAAAAAGCATTAAGATGTGTTATAAAACGTGAAGCATAAAAAAACAAAGCCTGATAGATGTTGGTGCAAGATCTGAGAAGAAGAAATAACATTCTGAGATTTTTTTTTTTGCTTCCTCCAGAAAACAGAGAAGTCATATCCTCTAAATTTTGATGCTGCTAAATTATTTAGTGCTTTAAACAAAATAGACAGTGAGGGTATAAACATGGCAACACTGAGGTGAATGTAAAAGAGCCAGATGAATTCTCTGGGACTAGAATATTACCTAAGGTATTTTGCAACAGTTTTCTTTCATTTTCTTTGTTCTTGTACTCCATGAGTTAGTATTCATAGAATTCTGAAATCACTGAAGTACAAAGTAACAACCTTTTCCCTAATGAAAGTCAAGAAAGTCTTGAAAATTGATGTATAATAGGATAATATGCTGCTGAGCATGTTTTTGTTGTATCATAATCTCATTTAAAAGTTGATTGACAGCATATGGCCATTACAGTATATTTTAGTCTTGGGATTATGGCATTAATAATGCATGCCTTGTTATGCATTCATTCTGAACTGAAAAGAAGTTTATTCTAAGACTTAATCTTTTTAACCAAATATGCAGTATTTCTATAAGCCACTTTATGTAGGGAGAAGCTCAAAAGAAGCACTGGCATACTGTGTATTAACTTTTTCTTTGATTACTTGATGACAAATAAACATCACATGTTTTTCTGTTATGCTGTGATTTTGAGTCTGACAAAAATGGTTTAGAATTTTTTTTTTCTTAATTCAGTAATTTTTTTTTTTCTTTTGAAGAATATGATCAAATTTGATTACCAAAAATCTACAAAATACATTTTATTATTTCAGTGACAGGAAATGTTATGTTTGCCTGTCACAAAATCTATTATTCCAGAATCTTTCTGAATAGCATAATGAAACCTTTCATCTTCCCTGCACCCCAAAAACACACGACAAACCTCAGTAGATCCTGTCAGTATAATTTCATGTCCATCTAGCCTTTAGTTTGAACTGTAGGTGTGTGGACAGAAAGATGTATTGAAATCACACTCTTGAAATACATCAGTCCCAACTGTATGTCTTGTCTTATATAAAGAATGAATTATACTTTATTTCCATTAATATCATACTTATTTCCATTAATATAGTAGAACACTTAACAAATAACAAGAAATTAGAGACTTAAAATAATGCCTACGAGGTTAACAACTTAACTGAGGTAGGTTCTGGATGTAAAAGTAACTAAAAATAACTTATGCTCCCACCAGAAATCAGAGATTCATTTTAAACTGAGAGAAGGTCATGTTTGTGGTATTTGTTGCAAGAAAATCATCTTTAGGAATGAAACTGAGACATATTTTACTTGGCTATCAAAGAGAAACACTTATATGTGGCATTTATACATAGGAGAAAGTCATGTTGAAATTCTACTTTAATCAATTTTAAAGGTTTAAGAAACTCAGATGGGATTAGAAGACACAAGATTTCCAAGTGAAATCTACTACCTGACATGGCCTATGATTGAGCTCTGGGGAGAGTCAAGGTGATAGTCATCCATAGGTGACTTCTTTCCTAAGATCTTAAGTAAAACTTTCAGTTGAGAAAGGTATAAACTTACGAGGAGACTTCTTGGATGTGCACTCATTTTTTTTCTCAGGTCAGGAAAAAAGGAGGAATTGCATTCAGCTGTCTTTTATGTAGTCAACTGGAGGTGTCTGAATTCATGATGTGAAAGAACTAATGTATTCTTTTCAAAAGGGTCAAGAAAAAAAAATTCCTGAAGCAGTGAGACTGGCTGATGTCAGCCCAATACTTGCTGATAATAAGTTTTCATGGATGACAATTTGAGAGGCAACTTGATAAAACTGTCAAATTAAATATGCTGAGCATGATGTCAAATAGATTAACTAGTGGGCAAGAGCCAATTTTCAGTGTTAATATCTCTCAAAGCATACACAGGTGCTCATCTACTACAGAAAATATAATATAATAGGTTGGAAGAGCTTCTAATTGGGGAATAGGATTTTCTAGCATCTCTCAGCCACAAGATTGTTTTTTGTTTTGAGTTTTTTGTTGTTTTTTTTTAAGAAAGATTTCCCGTACAAAAAGCTCTGGACATATGTCTACTTTTACTTATCGCTATAATTAGAGACGTGAAATACTACTTTGAATCCTACTTCAGTATTCATGACCCTTAATCTGTGTGTCCAAGTCAACAGATAAGAAGATCAGGAAATACAAGAGCTCCTTAGCTTATGTTTATGGAGGATAACAGCTATCTAAATATTTATGGAAGAGTATTTACTCTTTCAAAATGTCTTATAAAGTTTAACTTTACTACTTAAATAAAGTATTGATCTGTCTCCCAAGTGTGCATCTGAAGAGTCTTTCATGGTGTGTCCAGGCCTTTAATGCCAAAATTCTTTCTAAATGCAGGTTATCAACTCTGGAAATAGAAGAAAGAGCGCAAACTCTTGGTCTCTTTGAGACTTTGAAAACCAATCCTGAAACCTTATATGAACACATGGTGAAATATGTTTACCCAAGTATTGAAGGTAGAGATCACCAGCGGTTACTGTATTATTTTACACTCCTTGAGAATTGCGGTTGCTCAGAAGTGGTGAAGCATGCTGTTAAACCTGAAACTCACATCCGACTCCTGAAAAAATTCAAAGCAGTTGCACCAGGTAGGAGAGTTCCTGTTTATTTTCTTTATAGCTGTATTTATTATTCTGTTATGTGAGTGTTGACATGATAATTCTTATCTAGTTTATACTCTCTAGGTAATTTTTTTTTTTTTCAATAAGTATTATCAGATTAATGCAAGTAAGGTTAGTCATGTCTTACAGGAGTAAGTTCCTTCTCTTTCTGTTAGTGGAAATTTAGTTTATTCTATCACAGCAAGCAAAAAAAAAATTAAAACAGGTTTCTGTTGGTCATGCAAGTTAAAATCATTATCAGCGGTTTATAGTAAATTTTTAAAGAAAAAATACCTCCTAGAGTAATTTTTAACACTGCAAGTTTAACATGAATACTCTCAAAGAACTTCAGTTTACCTTTCAAAAGTCTGAATTGCATAATATGTCAGGAACTTTAAGCATTTGTTTGTTTGTTTTATTTTAAATAAGGTAATTTGTGGTTTTTTTGCTTGATGCTACCTTTTGTTTTTGCAGAACTTATTATTTGTCCTTCTATGTTATCAGACAATGCCTGTAAAAGTGAGCTTCTGGAAAGCACTCTGAAATTTTGAATGCTAGTTTCAATTTGCTTGTTAGTCCAGTATTAGCAATGTCTTGAATTTCAGCTGAATAACTCCAAATCCAGTTTCAGAATGAAAAATGTGGACTGTGTGGGGTTACCGGCTGTGGGGATGAACGAATTGTTCAATACTGGAACCTCATGTGTATCAGACACTAAATTTACTGCAGGATTTTGAGAGATTGTGCATATGAACTCGTGTATTGCATGAACTAAAACAGGCAATATTTTTTTTTTATGGGGCAGGGATTACCTCCAGTTTTCATTGGTGTGTTTAAATGCCGAAGTTCTACAGTGCTTGTAGAAGAAAAATATATAAGGAAGTTATTGTTTGCCTTCAAAGTTGTATTTAAATGTTGCTCAAAAATAAAGTCCTGGGACCATGTATCAGACATAAATTAGTCACTTTGTATGGTAAAAAATTAACTCTGTTGTATTACATCCTTAATTAAAATTCTCAGTGTTCAGTATAATTTATAAAGAGTAAGTGAGGAACAACATCAAAGTGTTTGTAGAGATTACAGGCCCTAAGTATGTGAAGAAACACATGGCAATAGAAGTCGATTGTCTTGGGAATTATATGCATAGACAATAAACGAGGATTGTTGCTAGAAACATTTTGTTGTTGCTAGAATACTTTGCAGGAATTTTCTTCCAGTAGGAACCAAAGGAATAACAGGACTCTTGTGTTATATAGATATTCATGTAAATGGTTCTACGTGTTGTGTCTCTGGGTGACCTTACTTAGTTTACCTGTGCTTAGTGCCTTGCATTTTTGCTGAGATAGGTCGTAAGTGACAATTGTTACATGATCAGAATACATCTTTTTTTTAATTAATGAAGACTTAACTAAAGAGGTGAGTTCATGAGGTTTTCTAGACTTCATATTAAAAAAAAAAAAATAGTAGCATGATTCTATATACTATGTATGTATTCTCTCCTCTTTGAGAATCTACTTTTTCAGTTTGTATTGATACATAATGTTAAAATATGTTCCAGGGACTGAGAGATTTCACACGCATCAGGACATCATAAAGTCTCGGTGTTAACTGTATACAAACCTGTCTTCCTCCCAAGTCTTGTCAGTATATATGATTGTAAAAGGAGATGGAGTAGAGTCTTTCTAGTTCTGCAGATACTGGTTTAGTACTGATTGTGTTACACATGAATGTAGCGTTTGAGTAGCTTTAACTATGAATAACTTTTATTTTGTTTGCTTCTTTCTCCTTCCGTCAATAGGTCTTAATTACAAAAAGCTAATGGATGAAAACGAAAACCCTCTGGAAACACTGGAACCTGTCCTTACAAGTCAAAATATCTTATCTATTTCCAAACTGGCTCCCAAAATTCCTAAGAAAGATGGCAGCATGCTGTCACCAAGCTCCATTTATGCTGTCTGGTTACAAAAACTTTTTTGGAATGGTGATCACCATCTCATTAAAAAAATGCCAGAAACCATGGATGAATGGCTACATGCATATGATATGTGTTCAAAGTACTTGGATAGACTTGACCCAGATGATATTGTCACTTTTATTGATGCAATTACCTTTTCTTCAAAAGCTGTCACAAAGGTAAGCAGATATATTTGAAGGATTTCAGACCTTGGGTAAGGTGCAGTTGAATATAGTATCAAGGAGAGTCTCAGCGGATTTTTACATTTTTAATTTTACAGTTTTTAAAGATAAATTTATAAGTCTCCCTTCCTCTGTGTACCTCTTCTTTTTATGACTGCCAGTATAAAAAAAAAGATTTTTATTCAGTTAGTGGAGTTAGCTCTGTGGATAAGAGAGTTTTTGATGGAACCCTAAAATCCATGTATTCTGGTACAGCAGAGAATAAGATACTCTTCTTGTGTATTTATTTATTTTACTTGTGCTCATCCTAAAATTCTTTGTGCTGCAGGCTTGTGTTTAGTTCCAGGCCTTTGTATTATGAATAGGATACTCCACAGAGAAGTGTTCTGGGCCAACACATATGGTTTCTAGGCACTGTAATAATATAAATTATAAACTCTGTTGTAATCTCCACCTCGCTGAAAGCCTGTTGTTGAGAGGATGTGCTTTGATGTCTGTAACATATATTACTAAATTTGCAATTTCTTTTTGCCCAGTGAAACCTACTTGTAAGGATATTTCTAAGAATATACCAATGCTTTCTTGTGCATCTTTACTGCCAAGCACAAAAAAGACATGAAATTTCTTCGGTATTTCCTTATTAAAAGATCTTGAGATGTCTTCACTAACTTAATCTGAAATTAAAATATGATAAAGAAGAGATGTTTTGTGAGGGGTTTTTTGTTTCTTTAGCTTATCTATTCTGGATTGTGCTCATTTTCCAGAGGTGTTTGTTCACTACATTCCATAAGGTGTCATTTGTTCCTTCTCTGGATGTTGTTTTAGTGTTCCTGTGATTTTAGTATAAATTTATTAGAACATATCTAACCTGTTTCTACACCAGAATTTGTTGGGGGGGTGGGGAAAAAAAAAAAGCTATTCATTGAAATCTTGGGAAAATGAAAAGCTTTGTCAACACCAAATTTATGCTTTGATCTGTCTGTCATGTTACTGATAGAGCAACATGTTTTATCGCTAGTCCCATCAGCTGTCTTCTAAGCCTGTTCAGATGTTTTGATCCTTTTTATCACATGAACATACTGAGTGTTTCATGCTTATTAGGAAAGACTAGCACTTATCTTGAGATCTCAATTGCCAGACCTGAGCCTTGGCGGAGGTAGCCAGGGGATGACTGTTGAGAAGGAAACATTGTCTTAATGTATGATTGCTGCTAAGGACAGCTTGAAGCTCTTACTGTTAACATATCCTGGGCATTTCAAGATCATTTCTCACTTATTCCAGATGAAATATGCAGGGAGAGGATGAATAGCATCCACTGTGTACCTGTTTTGAAACACATAATTTATTTTCATTTGTTTATTCCTGTTCATGATTCTAATAGTTTCCCTACTCTTTTAAGATGAGTAGGAGTAGAGGAAGGAGATATTGATGGCAGGCTTATTGTGGTTGGTGGCCAAGCAGAACTTTGTCGCAGAAATCTGTTAGCTTTTTGGCCGTGAAAGATATTCAAGAAATGTTTGAAACAGTTGGTCAAATCAGTTGATTTAGTGTGTCCCCTGCACTGAGTTTGGGAATGAAACAGCTGTTTAACCAGCTTGCAACTAGTTTTGCCTCAGGAACCCATCTGATTTTAAAGTGGAAGTGTGCAATGAAAAATTATCATTGTAGATCCTGCAGACTTATTTCTCAGAGATCTTTCCTCTAACTTTGGTCTGAAAAATGCTTCACACGTAAAGGTGCAAGCCCAAAAGCAGCTTTTTACTTACAATTTTACCCTGTTTTGAGGCTGCACTGGTCATGCAAGTTCAGTGTTTTCTTCTCAGCCCAGTTCTATGGCCCAATACTTCATTATATCAGTTTCCCATTTCAGTTACAGATATACGTTTTTGTATTTCATAAAAGCACTGATATTTAACATAGGTAAAGCACTGCAAAACACCATGGTCATTACTGTGAAGTAACCTCTGCTGTCACTGAGACAACTGAGTTTTGTCACATACAGAAAATTTGTGGAGTTCTTTTAGGTGGACCTTGAGAGGAAGCTTAAAATAAGATAGTGTAAGTAGGTGGTTTAGGAGTAGAGGTGAATTGTTTCCTTTGCAAGCACACACCACACCCCCCCTCTCATCCCCTCAAAGTTTCAAAAGGGGAGGGGGAAAAGGAGAGAGCGTAGCCCAGAGAGGTGATGAAATGCACTCCATTATCCTTATGGAACAGCACCTCCATCTAAATGCCCCTCTTGATCACAAGTGATCAAGAAAAGTCAAGAAAAATCTTGAATGATGAGGGGTAATGGGAGGTAGACTGAATAGCAGCGTAGAAGGCTACGTGAGCTGAAGTTCCAGTATACCACTGCTATTGTCACCACATGGGAAACTAGGAAGCAGACATCAGGGTATCTCTCACTGTTTCAGTATATCAGCAGTAGTAAGGAGTAGTAGATGGTGGGCCAGAGAAGCAATAGGAAACCTCTTCTACTGACGTGTCCCTTGATATGACAGAGAACCTGGAAGCAGAATGTGTAATTGTACAAAAGGGAATGAAAACACAGGGATTCAGCTCTGACTTCTGCAATTTCTCATTCTTACTGAGAAAGACAGAAATGTGCTGGGCTTTGACAGGGGCCCTCTTCTTCACTTCTCCCCTTACACTAGCTCTTCTTTTTACTTTATTTTTTGAAAACTTGTGTTTTAGCATAAGACACTTCATTTGTGTGTAATGTCACAATAATTACAGCATGAAGCATGGGATGTTAAAGAAGAGAGGGCAGCTGGAGGTCTGATTTATTACAAAATCTTCCTCCTGGTCACACAGAGAAATAGTTTGTATTTGCATTGTATGAGGATGCTGTAGCTGCTAATTGCATTGTTGCTCCTTCTGTGCTACTCATAAATGGACATCTGAGAGGGAAGAGGTAGTATGGAAAACTGAAGGGTAATTAACTTTCTGATGAGTTGGCCAGCAGCGACTGAATAAAAAGGTGGATGAATGAGTAGTAGTGCTTGACTGGGCAAAGGAGTTGAGAGGATTTCTAAGCTGGAGAAATGGATGGGGAGTTTGCACTTGTGAAAGGGCAGCTTAACGTTGTTGCATTGATGCATCGTAGTGGGACTTTAATAAAATATAGACCCAAAATAACATGGTTAATATACTAGATATTCTGTATGAGACAGACCTGACTGCTTTTCAAAATTTAGTATTTTTTCATCTTCAGCATATCCTGTAGGAGATGTTTTACAGTTTTTGAGGGGTTAAGGGTAACTTATGAATCCAGAGTAATCCTTGATTGATCTAGTGTCTAATTATTGACTGTTTGTTTCTTAAAAATGCCTTTTTTGGTAAACCAAATTTATCTAGTTTTGAAATTCCACCTATAGACCTTTTGTCTGCTGTACTAAAGAGGTGGTTTGCTTCCACAGTCAGACGTTCAGCAGTGGCCACTTAAACTTGACTTTGGTAAAAAGAATGAACTGACCTTGGGAAGTTTTCTGCTGGTTTTTGTGTGTGTATGGTAGGTTTTTTGGGTTTTTAAAGTGTATTTTGGGAGAGTTGTTTTGTTTTCTTTTGTTCCAAGCTCTTCCATTATTATCACAACTCTTCTTTGGATCCAGTATATCAGCATCCATTTTCAGTTGGAGAAGGTAGAGATCGATGCAATTTTCATGCCGTGTTTGTACTAAATGAAATAGATGAAGTCCTTTACTCTCATCAGTACCCTCCTCACACATTGAAGGACTGAAGTATTGATCCTTTGACTTCTTCAGCTCACTGCTGCAAGCAGAGAGAGGATTCCTGCTTGTGGCACTTCTACTCAGAAATGCTTTTAATTATGAATAACTATTCAGGTTCTTCGGAGTAAATAATAATTTGGTCCACCTCTGGAGTAGTAAGCATAGGCTGTTTGCATGTATGGAACAGATTCTCCCTAAAAGGGAGATATTCCACATATTCAGTGGAACTACTGCTTGTATTTTTGCATGCATTTTGAGTCTATAATCTTTTCTTCCAGCAGCTCTGTTTGCTTTTAAATAATACTGACTTCATAGATTCTTAAATATGGTAAAGATCATATCAACTTTCAACTTGTTTATCCTTATGATTTCCCATTTATTCTCCTTTGTGTGATCTGTGTGAAGCATTTTAGGTAATTTGGAGATTTTTTTTTTTATTCATAGAATCATGGAATGGTTTGGATTGGAAGGGACCTTGAAGATCATCTAGTTCCAACCCCCCTGCCATTAGCAGGGACACCTTCCACTTGACCAGGTTGCTCAAAGCCTCATCCAACCTGGCCTTGAACACTTCCAGGGACGGAGCATCCACAACTTCTCTGGGCAACCTGTTCCAGTGTCTCACCACCCTCACAGGAAAGAATTTCTTCCTCATATCTAATCTAAATCTGCCCTCTTCCAGTTTAAAGCCATTACCCCTTGTTCTCTCACCATCTGCCCTTATAAAAAGTCCATTCCCAGCTTTCTTGTAGGCCCCTTCAGGTTCTGGAAGGCTGATATAGGGTCTCCCCAGATCCTTCTCTTCTTCCGACTGAACAGCCCCAACTCTCTCAGCCTGATTCCTTTATTGCCACCATTTTGTTCATTGTGCTAGATAGTTGGTTACGTCTTCAAATAACTATCTGTTTCAGAGCTCATATGTCATTGCCCTGACATTTGTTGATTAACAGTACTCTGGAAAAAAAAGCCCAACATAACAAAACGAAAAAATAAAACCACAATTGACAACAGTTACTGCTCTTTCATTATTGAACACAAAGTACAAATGGGGATGGGCACAATATGTTGATTAGGCAGAAAAGACTACAGCTTTAGAGAGCAAAAGTAGGATAAAAAGCAGTGGTATCATCAGTTAGGTCTTCTGTTGAGGAAGAGAAGGTGAAATTTTCCTTACACAGGAAGGAACCTTACAACCTTCCGTAGACTCAGCCCCATTAATTCAAACTATGACTAATGATAATTTTTGTTTACTATTCCATCCTTTATAACTCTTCTAACTTCTGATGCCAAGGAAGAATTTTGCTTGCAACTTAATATTTTTAGTTGAAACGTTGACTCTTATTTTCTCTCAATTAGTAATGTTTTTTGACCATTTTCTTCTTGCTTAAGCAGGAAATGTCCACATTTTGACCACGTACCACATTTTGAGTGTGGACTGGGAACCTGTCACGACTGGATATTAACCTGCATGATTTTCTCTTTCAATTTTAGTGACTTTAAATGCCATTTTAAATAATTGTATAAAAAGCTCAGTTAAAAAAAAAAAAAACAAAAAACAAAAAACAACTCAAAGTAACATTTAGTATCTTTTGTCTGGCTGATTGACTTCTTATCACTGTGTACAGTGCTAAAGGAAAAGAGAGGGCATGACATTGCCTGAAGATGTACAAGAAATGTGTTAATAGTGTTCTTACATAGCATGACTGCATTCAGATGTTACCTTTTGAATTACTTGTCTTCTTTTTACCACTGTGCTTCAATTCAGTCGGTTTGTATTGTATGACCTTATTTTCTTCATGGGTATTGACAGTACCTCTTTTTCTTATAGCAGTACAGTTTTAGATACTTTCTTGTGCCTTGCCATTAATACAGTTGTTTTAGTTAAATCTGCTTCAAGAGTTCATAATAAGAAACTTCATGAATAATGTCATTTCTTTAGCTGGTTCCTTACATGCATTAGAACTTTTACACTGATCCCCTGATGAACTGTACTGCATTTGGCAGGGATGGAGTTCACTTTCTTCATAGCAGCACCTGTAGGGCTGTGCTTTGAATTTGTGACTGAAACAGTGTTGATAAGACACCAGTATTTTGGCTGTTGCTGAGAACTGTTTGCACAGTGTCAGGGCTTTCTCTTTTTCTCAACACCCCAGCCCTGAGTAGGCTATAGGTAGGCAAAAAGTAGGGAGGGAACACAGCCAGGACAGCCAAAGGGATGTTCAGTGCCATATGATGTCATACTCAGCAGTAACAAACAGGAGGTTGGGAAGTATCTTCAAGATGGTTATTGCTGGGAAATTTGCTGGGCATTGGTCTGCTTGTGGGATGTGGTGAGTGATTGCCTTTGCATCACTTAGTTCTTAATTTATTTTCCTTTCTGCTTTATGTATTAAGCCATCTTTAGCCTGATCCACAAGTTTTCTTGCTTCTGCTCTTCTTTTTCTTTACCACATAGGAACTGGAAACAGCTTTTTGTATTCCATAACTGTTTAATCTAGTTGTGAATTAACTAATTAAATTTGCTTTCCATTCTAGTATATCTGACTGACTTGTGGCTACATGACATTTGATTGTGGAATATGTAAAGCTAAACAGTGGCAGAGACAGGAACTGGACCAAACTGTTCCATTTCAACATCAGGAAACATTTTTCATTATGAGGCTGACTGACCACTGGCACAGGTTTTGCAGAGAGGCTGTGGAGTTTCCCGCATTGGAGGTGCTCAAAAGTCACCTGGGCATGGTCATAAGCAACTGGCTCTAAGTGACCCTGCTTGACCAGGGGATTTGGACTGGACACTTCATCTCTAGAGGTCCCTTCCAACCTCAGCCATTCTGTGTTTCAGTGTTGCTGGGATCCCAGGTTCCTGTGGCATTAAAAGGAGGGGAGTTGTTTCCATCATCTCAAAGTTGCATGCTGATCACTGGCAATAAGAGTGGCAGGGCAACATCTTCATGTGCAAGTGAATATTACTTGTACGATACTTTATTAAGAAATACATTCTGAAGGAAATGGGCTTCTGAGATGAGTTTTTACCCTGAGGAGTGAAATCTGTTGAGCTGAATTTGTACGTGATGCTCCTTGATTTGAAAATGAAAGAAAACAGATTTTTAGGAATTTTTATTACACATTATAGCCTACAGAATTAAAAATCTTTTTAAACTATAAAAGCGTTTTAAAAACAAAACTTCACATGCAAACAATACTGAGCTAACCCCTAAGCTACTTTTTTTTTTATTGCTGGGTATGATACCAAATCTCATTACTGAGGCTGACTAGAAGTAGGGAGGATAGCCATTCATGCTTTAGAATAAAATAATCATAGAAACGATATGTTGGTAGTGCTGCATTTTGGCACTATGCAGATATGAATGCAAAATTAAAACAGTCATGGGAAGAACTTGTATTCTTTTTTTTAATGCTCTATTCTGTATATGCTTATGGCATCATGACTTCTAAACTGGCAGTATATTCACACTGTTCTCTAGGATATAGCAGTTAGATGAAACACTTAAATTGTTTGCCTATTCATATCTCTTAATTGCATTTTGAACATAAGAATGTACAGTAGTAGGGGAAAAAATGAAATTTGTAGCTGTTTTCGTCTTTTATCAGGTTTACAAAATGGATATATGAATCCATCTGTGGACATTAAATTTTAGTGTGATATGAAGAGTATCACCTTTTCCCAGCTTATAGTAAAACCTGATATTGAGACCTTATTCAAAGTAACAAAATCATACTTAATTTATTTTGGTGGAACTGGAACCGAGTCAAATTTGAAGCTCAGTGGTAAAATACCTTTTGTATTTACCCTGTTAATGCTGGCAAGTTTTCTTAGCTCTTACAATAATGTCTGCCCATTTTACTTTTATCATTAGAAATGTCCAGTAGACTCTTAGCACTAAAAAACAGAAGTATCTTCTGCTTCTTTCACTCTCTATTTTTAGTGAGGGGGAATAATTTAAATATATAAACTGTAAAACTTCATACTAACTAATCCTTTATCAAGCTTTCTGTGTCTTTACAAGTAGATAGTTTAATTCTTGATGGAAACATCAATTTTACTTTCTTGTAAAAAATGCTATAGCAGTTTAATTTTCCTCTTTCTGTGGTATTTCAACCTTTTTCTTACTCAGTTCATCATACAGATTCAAGTGTGGTTTTCTATTTCTTGTGTATTTTAACTGGAAAATTAAAATTGTTTGTATGTCTTTGTCCAGTATTCCGGTACCTGAAACACTTGATGTTAAACATACCTAATGCTGTGGGTTTAGGCAGAGGAGACCCCCAGGCAATAGAAAATGTACTGCAAGCATCCTTAAAACTGTACTTGAAGTTATGAACTAACAAATTGTACATGAATTTTAAAAATAATATTTCAGAAGTTGTTTTGGACTTATAGCTGAAGCTTAAAAGCATAGCAGTATCCTACAAGTACTGCTGATATAAGGACTATTTCCATCTGTATCCCATTCCATACTTTTGGTTTCTGGAAGCTTGTGAATCTGTGATCATTGCCCAGGCTCCATTCTGAAGTCCTAAATTCCATTCTGATGCACTGGAATCACTCTTTTGTGCTAGATGAATGGGTGAGGGGAAACTTCATTCAGTATATGCATGACTGTATTTAAAAATTCAAACTCTGTGAGAGGTCTAATGGGAAAAAAAAATACCAGACTTTTTTCTTTCAATTTAATGGATAGACACATCTAGTTGTACAAGTCTTTCAGAATAGTAACTCACTGTTTTCTATAACTTGTGTTTTAAATAGGTTGATTTCAGAGCTCTAGACCTCCTACTGCACTTTTTCCTTATGATTATAGTCTTAGGGGTATATTTTAAACAGTGATCTAAACCTTACAGAACTAACTTTAAATTACTTTTCAGCATTTGGGATTTTCAGTTCATTTTGTAAAATGATCCCCAGAAAACTTTCAATGTGGAATTAAAAAAGCAAAGATTTTAAGGTGGCATTCTAAAAAAATAATTAATATTGCTAGAGAAAATAAGTTCTATATGGTTTGATATGAGCCAGATTCAATGTCAGTAAAAGAAAGGACAACAGAAGAAAGTAATGGAATACTGATCCTTTTAAAATAAATTACTAATAAGAAAGAAGGCTGTTTCTCCTAAAATGCTTCATAGTTTTATGCTGTGCTGTAAGAGCAGTGGAATCACCTGAGCTCTCTGCACTGCTGTAATACAAATAACAGTGTACAGATGATGAATGATTGATGAAATATTGAGTAATCTTTTTCAGCTGCCTGTTGAAGCCAGGATAGAAGTGACTAAGAAGGCTATGAAGACAGTCAAACATCTTTCTGAGAAATCAAGAAAAAAAAATTCAGAGAATGTCATGGAAGATGCTGAAAGTCCTTCTGTTGCTTATGGAGAGACTCTGAATCACTTGCAGCAATCTCTTGCTCATCTGGAAACACTTACTCATAGTTTTATTACTTACTTGAAAAAAAGCGAACAGGTAATGATTACTGAGCTTGTTTTGAGTGTTGTCATGACTGGCAGTTGTGGACACCAATCTTCTGTTGTATTTTTTTTATGTTTTATAGCTTTGTTTTTGTTGACCCGGTGTTTGGAAATTCACTTCTATCAATCTTTTTCTTTTTGTAGTGTATGTTAAATCTTGGTAGAAATAAAAGTTTTGAATGATACATCTCTGTAAATAAAAAGTACACTAGTTCATGTTCAAAAATTATCTGTTCACAGGATACACTACAGAAGTATGGCTATTTATATGATTTGTCAAGGTCAGAGAAAGAAAAAATCCGTGACCAAGCAGTAGCTATGTGTATAGACGGTCAGCCTCTGGACATGATACAACAGTTGTTACAAGTGGCTGTTGGAGATCTAGATCTTTCTCCCAAGGATGTTGTCCAATGTGCTATTAAAAAAATTGTATGTACATTAAGGTAAGTACACTGCCACTATTAATCCCAAAACCCTTTCTTCTGGTGTTTTGTGGGGTTTTTTTTGTCTTGGGGTTTTTTTTCTTTTTTTTAGGGGGGGCTAGGGGGGGTGGTGGTGTTTAGTTTGTTCGTTTCTGTTTTTTTGGTTGTTTTGGTTTGGGTTTTTTGTTTGTTCCTTTTTTTTTGTAGTGAGTACTTGTTTGCTTTGAATGTCTGTATTTTGCAGAAAATTGGGCAGTAACAGAAAATTATTTATTGGATTGTTTATGCTCCTTTTTACTTACAATTTCATATTCAGATGAGACAGTTACATTTTTCTGAATTTGTGAAGCCTGGACAATCTGAATAAAGCAAGCCACAGAATTCATCCTGTTCACTGGAGGGTGCTTTTTGGTTAAAAAACCTTGTGTTTACAATATTGTTCCACAGTGTGTGTGTGTACACTTGTGAATTTTTGGCAAATTTACAATTGCACATGATTCTTCTCCCTTAAACAGAGTCAAAAGGCATGTTTGTCAGAAGTGGTGGGTACCTCAATGCAGGTATTTGGGTGGTAGAGGCCTAGCAATGGCTCTTGCCACAATAGCTTGTCATACAGGAATAAGTCGAAGTTCCATTTTAGGAATAACTTTTGTGCTTCTGGGAGCTGTTTTTTGAGTTGTTTTGTTTTTATTTGCAAGGTTTTGAAAAATATGTGTCTGTCATTAAAATATAGACTATGCATTTTTTTTCATTCTCATAAAGAATGCTTCTTAGAGTTTTTGTTCTTCCATCTCCTGTTGTGTCACACTCTACCTCCAAACTAAACAACAAGTTTTATGCTTCCTACAGCACTTAAAAGCAACAATGCTACCCCAAAACCCCCCTCCTGCTAACTTCTTGGAGAGAAACGGTTTCTTATGTGAGGCAGGGGATTGCTTTGCTCAACTCTTTCAATGTTGTCATTGTTACTGTTTCTTGCTGTTGTTAGTGCCATCATACTATGAACAATCCAACACATTGTACCAGAAACAAGACTTCGTCTCCATCTTTTTTCTGAAATTCACAGCCCTAAATGCTACAATTGTCTTTTCCATGGCATGACACAAACCAAATAATCAACCTGTTCATACAGTCCCAGCAAACTGAGTCATCTCGTATTCTAAGATTACAGAGGAACAGGCTAGGAGAACAGAAAACACAAAATAACTAGCTTCCACATAGTTTATACTTCCACATCCCAGAATAATTCTGTAGAGATCTGGGCAAGACCTGAATAATACAAAGGAACATGAAATACAGTTGATCCCTGACCATCTTAATCTTGTTAAGAGTGAACTTAAAGTTTACATTAACTTGCATACAGTGATCTTTTAGTTGAATATATTCTTTATAGTCTTGCTTCCAAATTACAGTTCTAACACTTGTGAGAAGCAGTCTGAAACTACTGTCATCATGATGTGTTTCTTAAGGGCTAAGGCATGGCTTGGGCAAGGGAGGAGAGAATAGTCCTGCATTGAAGTCCTGCCTGTTTGGTTAGCTGAATGTCTTAGCCCCGAGAAGGAACATGGCTTTTCTTCACAAGTTTGAGACTTAAACTGTTTTAGTTTGTCTGGCATTTGAGATAATGTAGTCATCTCTAGGAATGTAGAATTGTCAAAAATACCTGCTTATAGACATGTTTACAGATATGGTATGGGTATGGACACAGGTAAGATGAGCACACTGTTTGAAAAGCCTTTCAGTGAAATAAGGAATAAGGAATTTCATTTAATGTTCAGTTCTAGCTCAGCTTGCCATTTGTAACACCATCTGTTAAGATTCGGCAAGAGATTTGACTGCTTTTGTAGCCATAGTGATTATAAAATTCCCTTGTCATGTAATGTAAGACTTTAGCATGTCCTTTGAGGTTCAACCTTTTTCCTGCCACAGTGAAACTGAAGATACTTATTAGGGTGGTGAAGGGATAGGGGATGTGGTTTGGGGGCTCAAATGCTGAGGCAAGTGTACATTTAAATTATTTGTTAGGGTTGAATGAGTCTGTAAAGGTGCTGCTGTTCTTTCACAAGGTTTAGGATATGTGGAAGTCCATGAATTTTTGTAGCCACATAAAAGTATCTCTTTTCTACCAAGGAATTAATGGCATTCTGATTCTGACTTGTGCCTGAATCCATTTGTCTATCTTGATGTTCTCTGTCAGAACAACTTAACCACAGATCATACTCAGTCCCCATTGCTGTTGGACTAGAGCAGAGATACGAAATTCTCAAGACAGCAAGCAGAGAATGTAGTTCTGGGATTTTACATCTACATTCCTCTTAAGTTTTTGTGTTCCCAGGATGACAGGATGAAGAGAACCTGAGATTTCTTCCCCCACCCCACCCCCCCTCCCCCATCATTGTTGACAGAATGTTAATGAGCTCTTAAGAATCCTTTTGTCCATGATGCTCTCTCTCCTTCAGGGCAACGTGGAAGTATTCACTTTGACTTTTTTTCTGCAGTCAGATGAAATTAATTCATGAGGGATTTCTTTTATTTGAGAAAGCTCTCTTGGATTTAATATTGCTGAGTGCTCCCTGTTGCCTCTTCGTGGCTGAGTCTTTGATGTACTGAATAATCCAAATGAAGTACCACTGTATCTGTAACCTAGTGATTTCAGTAGAAATATTTTCTTCTTCTCCCTCCCTACCCCCCCACAATTTTTTGGGGGGAGATAATTTTATATCATCCATGATAAATGAACAGATTCTTCTCATTTAACTATTCATACAAAACTCTCTTCTGAAATATTTTTGTTCCAAAGAGATACATGCAACAAATAGGAAAGAGTATTGTGCTGTTAGATGGCTGCTAGACACTGTTTATCACTTCTAAGACCAGTTTAGATGGATATGACTTTGAGATTGTATCTTGTTCTTCTGCATGCAGAAGAATTATGGGGGCAGGATGATCTGGATGCACATACCAGAAACAGATGAACAAGTCTATCATGCAAAATAATCTATGGGAATCATGGAAAATGTCTCTACCTTTTCTTTAACATGTATGTTTATATTACAGCAGATTGAATGCCACAGATGAAAAGGAGGCAGCTTGTCAAAGTGTCTGCAGTCCTCTTTGGCAGAAAATTGATTTCTCCTGTCACTCAGTTCAAAAGTATTCATAGCATCCTCAGTGATGATAGAGCTTTTGTGTGGCAACATAAGTAATATTGTCTTGCTTCTCTGGGTTTGTCCATTTGATGAAGAATAATTTAGCTTTAGATAATAACTGTCCTGCTGTTTCTGACTGGAGTATAGCAGTGTGATGCATCCGGATATAAAGCTCACAAAGTCCAGTTATTTCAACTGTAATGAGTCTCGTTAATATGCAGAGTGTGAGAAACCTATCTAAATTCTCTTTTCTACTCTGCTTCTTATCAACATTTTTCTGTGAACTGAATTATTTGTTCTTTATATGCATTGCAAGGCTGGAATGTCTGCAAGTTGATTTAAAGTTCTGGGGCAGAAACCATAATAACTTCTATGCAGCACTTTCCAGTAAAGAAGAGAATGCCCCTGTCTATCCCGTAGAGAGAACTGTAGTGGTAAAATTGGGAAAATCAGTTTGATGCTTCAGATAAACTCAGAAATCCACTCATCTGGTGTGTGATCTGACCTAATGTGATTTTTAGATTTCCTGATACTTACAGTAAGCATAAACAGAAAGAGGAAAATAAGGCTGGAGAATCAAGACAATATCGAGTATTTTCAATGAATTCTGTAATTCTGTAAAAAGATTTAGATGAAGTTAATTTATTCTCCTTTCAAGCATTTTTGTACTTTATTGTGTTTGAGGAACTTGATTAAATATGCATCACTTTCTCTGAAGCTGAACTGAAATTAAAATAAGCCTTTATCAGTGTAATTACACCAGGTTCTTACCTCGGAGTTTGGGGGCGAACATTGAATCCTTTTCTGTTGTTTAAAACATGCGTGCAATAGCATATAATCTGTGTGGCAGACTAATACTTCATTAATTATATTTGTTTCTGTTAGTAGATGCTTATTTTTAATCACTAATTATTAAGAAAAGAACAAGGCAGCAATCTGTGGAAACTTGACATGATTATTTGTCTCATGAGCTGTAATCTCTTTTTAGTTTCTCTAACCATTAGGCAGTAAAGGCAATATTAAGCTTAAAAAAAATGCTAGGTTTCAATCTTTCTAGATATTCTTTTTAAAATACTTGATTATTCTAGCTAGCTGTAACTTACTGTTAAGTGTCACCTTTTTTCTTCTTTCCTCCTGCTTAGTAGAATAGTACCTGTCTGTATATGGCAAACTCAATGCTTTCTGTAAATATTTGTGCATCTCTTGTACTTGAGAACCAGCTTCACAGATCTATTGTCTGAAACAGTGGGTTTCTGTTTTCAGAAATGCCTGTTAGTTTTTGGGTATATGTTTCTTTTGAGTTGAGTTTTTTGAAGTGCTCAGAGGCTGGTTTTTCTAGGAGCTAAAGACTTTAATTCCTAATTAGAGAGGTGAAGGGATTTTGAAGAGCAGGTGCTAGAACTATTTAGAACCAATTCAGAACCCTCAATCTCCAGAACTGAGGGTAAACAAAATCTAAGGTTTGCTGGTCTTTATCCTTTGATATGTAGGTTGCTTATGTCACTAAAGATAATTCAGGATAAGAAGAGCTAGTAAGATTTTAATTTCTGTAGTCCCTGTCCTATTCTTTTCTATTATTCACTGAAGTGCTGGTCACCTATTAAGATAAAAATGAAAATAAAAAAGATGAAAGTCCTGAATGCAGGAAGACATTAAAGGTTGTAAAAATTCAGTTCCCTATGCCATATAGTATAATCATGTTTTAGGCAATATATTTATCTTATTGAAGTAAGAAATAGCAAAATTATAAACACTCTCATAACTCTTGGCAAAAATTTTGTGAAATACTGCAGTTTTTTGTACACGTTAGTCAGCTATAGTGTATTTTGGCTTTAGACAGAGCAGTCATAGTCATCTGGACATGAATTCATTCTTATTAAGAGGTCATCTAGGAAGAGGCTGATGTTTTTAGTAGCACAATAGCTTTGATATCTGATGAACTGTAAAGAAAATACACTTTGTCTCTTGGTTTTTGAGTCATCTTTAGTAAACTAACTTTGGAATGATTTGGCTTTCTTTCTCTTTATTAATGCAGCATTGACAAACCCTTAAGATAGGCAAAACTGATGTTTTTTCTGGTTCATCCAGGCATCATTGCCACTGTAGTGGTTTCCATGAAGAGACACTATGTATTTTATTAGCGTACCAGTGCAAAATCTGTCTTTGAGCACCAAGTCACATCTTAGGCTTGTTTTTCTGAAAAACTTAGCAGAAAATGTCA